ATAAATTCTCAACCATACAAGTAGTGGTGTTAAAGTCTAACAGTCCCTACATCTGTAAGCAGTTATTTCTTTGCCATGCAGCACCTGCATTTAGGAGCTATTCACCTATATCTAGGATATCTAATTTCCCGTCCTACCTTATCATACCACTCTGAAAATATCACTCCAATTTCGCTATTGCTACTATCGGTATTCAGTAGGAATTGACAATCTTGTCGTCGGTATACCAAGATCAGTGTGTCAATCAAAGTTCATTTTAGCAGTCTAAATGCTTGACCACAGTCTTAAGTCCACCGAAAATGCAAATAAGCTTTGCTCAGGAACTGAGACCAATTGCTATGATTTTCGCAAGGTCTTAAGAGACCGCTACCCCAAACAAAATACGACCAAGGAACTCCACTTGTGTACTTATGAGTACACACTTCTTAGGATGAACTTCAAGCCTACCTCTGTTGTCAACTAAAATACCATGCTCAGGTATTCAGCAGCAGATTTATATATGTGGCGAAACACAGAGACATCATGAACACAAACCATGCACCTCTTTCGTAGCGTTTATTACAGTATAAACTCTATTAGCCTCTTGAAAGTGGCAGTAAAGTTACATAGGCTAAATGGCATGACACAGGACTAATACAAGGTACAGCAATTGTTAAAAGTAATCTTAGACCTGCTTTTGTCATATAGTTGGACTTAGCAGTATCCAGAAGTAAAATATAAAGTGTTTAACCAATGGGAACCTTCCAACATGTCCAGACATTTATTTGTTCATAGGAGCTGAAAAGGTATCAATTTGTGTCACCAGGTACATCCTCTGAAATCAAAACTACCATTCTTCTTGACAATCAAAAAAGAGACAATCACATCTGTATTTCAGTGCTAGTTGGTTCAATGAAACTCCAACTTGAAACTGAAATGATTCCAGGAAGTAAAGGAAGACTGAGAAACATTTTAAATGTAATAACAACAATGGCAAGATTGATCAGTTTGCCAGCAATCAGTCCATAAATATCTCATAACATATAAACCCATGGAGAAATGGCACTGACACTGACAGTGACACATAAATGCAATGAGGTAGATGGAAATCTGGCCATATATCAGGAGGAACTGGATCTTAAGTGCAGGTAATCTGATGTGGGATAATACCAACTGATGGTTAAGACTGACAGTATTGTTAACAGACCTCTCTTTGAGGAGAGATTTCTACAGGTAAAAGAGGTCCTCTGGAAGCTTTTGGTTGGAAGATAACGGTTTTCCGAGGCTCTGAACTCTTTTTTGCTATCCCTTCGATTGTTAAAAAGTTGTTATGGTTTCTAATGCTTTTATTTTTTGTTTTTTATGTTAACTTACCCTTGTTTGCATTATTTTACTTGTTAATCATTTAAAGCTTGGATTCTGGAGTATTTTGAGCTTATGTATGTCGTTTATTCGAATTCGTTTATGTAATTTTCACCAAATTTTATCTTTTGTTTGATTATGTTCATTTTGACTCTGTGACATTTTCACCTGATTCTGATTTATTTTTGCTGATTTTAATCCAATGTTTCGAGTTTTTGTTTATTATTTTGGGTTTCATTCAGTCTTAAGCTTAGGTTATACAATATTTTATTCACCAAGTTTTTATCTTGAATGGTAATATTTTTATTTGTTTGTTTGTCCTTTGGAGTCTTTTTTTTATTGTTTATCAAAGTATTCCTTTGTTTGTTTATGTAAGTGTTATAGCATCCTGTATATTTAATCTGAAGAAATGAATTCATGATAATTAGAGTTGATATGGTTAGACTTCTAAATTTTCAATTTGGCAGTAAAATTTACTTTTTAAATTTCATGCCACAAAATACTCTAAAATAAGAAAGACTGGTACAGACCATCACATGTAATCTTGTATAGAGAAAAAATAAGGTCATATCCACATACACGAAAGATTACAAGTTCATTATGAATTTCTAGAGACAAATCTCCCCAAAATTCACCACAGAACCTAACCTGAATGCTCAGGAAGCAAGGATTGCAAAGTCCTTTCATCATATTGATTTGTCAAATTTCACATCCATCAATTGAACTGTTGAAAACAATCATAAATTACCCAGGATTTTGTTAGCATTACATTAAGAAAGAGAACCCTGGGGAAATTATTGGATGGGGAAGATCCTGTGCCAAGGCCAGTGTCAAATGCCTCAATTGTATAATGATACTGGAACCAATAGTGTTGAATTATCTTATTACATTGGGTGCTTGGTGTTAAGATATAATAATAATAATGAACATGAATAAGATATTTAAATTATAATATGAAATAAATATATTAGATACACATAATTGATTAGCAAGTAAGTGGTTGATGGCAGCCAGTTGCATTGCTGTGATCGGTGTTCAGAAGTAGGGATGGCACAATTTAATCTAAGTTATCAACTGGCAATGTGCTGTGATGGGACTCCACTATTAGCGAATGTCTGCGCTTGGTTGGTGCTAAACTTCTATAGATTATTAATAATTTTTAATATTTAATCCTAATAACCTAGAACGTGTCGGGTTGTTTTTAGCTCTATTAACTAGTACTAACATAACATATGATTAGAGATTTATTATACTGTTACCAACGATGAAGTCATAGGCATAAGTACATGTACCATGTGCTTAGTTAAAGTACTTTAAAATAGCTGTGTAAGTTTAGTACATATTATCTTGCTTAATTCAAGTAGATGGCAAATTTGTTTTCTACTTATACAGTCTTGGCCAAAATGTTTGCATACTACTCTATATTGATGTTATTGTCTACATGCATGAAGTAGTTATTGAGTAAATGCCCGAGTAATAACAGAGAAGGTAGTGTATGATCGGACAAATATATACGAGCTGTGAGCTGTTTTTCTGGTCTGTATAAGTTGTTTTAAGCATTTGTTCGTCAAAACACACATATATACCTGATTTGTATAAAAGGGTGTGCTTTTGGTATATCATTTTTCGAAACAGATCAATGCTTTGTTCAGACACTTTCTCTGTACTTACAGTAGAGTCATGCCTCGTCACATGCCAGAACTTATAGGGCATCATATTGTTCAACTGTCCAAAGACATTGTGAGAACAGAGAGTACCCCAAGCGTACTGTATCCAGAATCCTGAAACATCATTAGACTACAGGAAATGTTGTTCCAGGAAAGTCTACTGGTAGATGCCAAAAAACTACTGCCTGAAATGATCGTGAATACAAAACTGACCAAACAAGGTTATTTTGCAAGAAGGGCTATCTGCAAATCGATACTGACCAGAATTCACCACCACCATCATGTTACTTTGGCAAGACAGTATACCAATCTACAGTTGGGGCACTGGTGACATGTCATTTTTTTCAAATGAGTCTTGTTTCCGGCTTGTTAAAGCTTATGGTAGGATTTGTGTTTTTTGTTTGCCTGGAGAACAGATGAGAAAAGTCTACCTTTCTCACTGGAAAAACACAGGAGGTGGGGCAGTACACGTTTGGACAGCTATTAATCACAGTGGAAAACTGCTCTTCATATCCTCCAGGGAAAAGTAAATGGGGCCACCTATAGGCATTACATGGAGACGATATTTCTACCACATGCTAGAGCAAGATTTGGCAATAACTTTGTGTTGAATGATGACAATGCCAGTGCCAACATTGCGCGTATTGTATAGGATTGTCTTGATCAGGAGGACATTAAATGATTGTCGTGACCAGAAAAGTCTATAGATTGTAATCCCATTGAGAAATGTTGGGCAGAACTGATCCAAACAATTGCTAACCCACAACCCTCAAACAGCTACTGAAGCTGAGTTGCAGCACGTTCTAGTGACAAGTTGGGATGAAATTATGGTTAGCACGCCACGTCGCTTTGTGGAGGTTATTAGAATACCGGCAGGACCAATCAAGTAATGAATATTTAATATGAACTGATATAAGGCTACATACGCTATTTATAATAATTTGATGTTATATTTTGTTATTATGTATGTTTTGGTAAGGTTTTGTTATAGGTGAAATGATGAATTACACATTTTTCAACAGGTGTCTGATAAAATTGTTTGCTGTTCTAATAAGTAATTCAGCATGTCCATAGAACCTGTCTCATTATGCAAGTTATATATGTAGATGTTAAATATACAAAGCATGTCTTAGTTCGACAGTGCTAAGTGTATTTGTATTCCATCTTAATGATAATGATCTTATTTATTATAAAATATGCAAACACTTTCGCCAAGACTGTAGGCTATACTGTATTTATTTATAAGCCTAGTGCAATTTCACTATGAATTGGCTATAGTTCTAGTATTTACAGTAGAGTTACTGAGTTGCATTACAAGTATAGCACAGTATTATCATTAACATTAAAGTTAGTTTCGTTTGGTTTTAGTATATGTTCAAGCATCAGTCTTACACAAAGACCATCTGTTGTTAAGATTAATTCCAATGTTGACCACCTGGAGCCTAGTTGTGTGTAAAATTAGGATAGATGAATCACTGGATATGGAATCAATGTCCAACACAACTCAGATCTACAAACACATACCCTTCGCCCAAACAAGAACCGTCGTTGAGTTTATATATGTTAGGTGTAAACTTTTCTGTGATAACAACTTTTTGGATGATCTGGTCGGGATCTAATTCAGGCCTTTTGAGCCCCAGAAAAAAAATGCTGTACCAACTGAGTTAAAGCTGACGCCCTCCCCCACACCCTTTTTAACAACTCAAAGAACCACATTATTACTTGAGCTTTCATAGGTGCTAGTTTAAACGTAAATTGTATTTTTAGGAATCAAACACTTATAATAAATATTACAGAGATCTTGTGGTTTTATTACTCAATAATACCAATACTGATATCATCCACCACGTAATAATTTATTTTGTCTATTCCATTTGTATTTTTCATAATGTTACAATATAAAGACATTATAAGTTTTAGTGACATTTCTTGTTGTTTAATATCGATGTTTTAGAGGGCACTATCCTCTAAACGTGCATCATTGTCGCAAATTTGTATTTGTACTGTTCTCTAAACCATATCTGAGTAAGATCATAGATGTGTAACTGTTCGTGCTAATCAGGATTTTAGCATAATTTTATACAATACAAAAGCTTGAAAATAATGGAAGATGAGATAAAATGTGCTGCAGAAAAACTAGTGTCTGCAATAGATATTCATATGAATCCCTATGTTAGTCAGAACGAAAGAGAAGAAGCGTACAAGGTAAGGCTGAATAGGCCCTTAATATTTTAATTTTTATTACTAAATGTATAACAATTTTTAAATCTTTTGAATTTTTACTATTTTTAGATACTTGTCAAGTACAGAAATTCGAAGTGTCGAGTTGAAACTTGAATTGTACTAATAGTATTAGTTCTACTATTAGTATTACCTGCTTAGCAATTAGTAGGTTTTTAAAGTTACAATGCCAATGGTAAGAGTACGGTACCGTCACTACTAGTACTACTAAGTCTTACTATTACTAATTTCGCAGATGGGATGGAAACACTTCTATTAAGTTCTAATACTGTATCATTGATACTGAAATTAGTATTAATGTACTATTAGTATTACAAATATGACTATTTTTGTGGATTATTATAAAAAAATTTCCCTAGAAAGACAAAACATTAACCTTACAGAATTACGTTTTTTAATAAAGGTTTTCAAATTGACTAAAAAAGTCAAAATAATTTAAGTTAAAGCATTGAACTTTGAAGAACAAGTTTATGAGGTAACAAATATACAGAGCTTAACCCTATACATGTGTAATAAAAAATATTAACTTAATACTTTTCTTGAATAGCATGGTTAGTTTATATTAAACTACTGAACACAATTTTAAGCATGCCAAAAATATAACTCAACAATGTATTCCAATAAACAGGAAGTTATGATATGAAAAAAGGTTTGTTGAAAGTGTAAACATTAACAGTAAAGATTTCTTTAAATATATTAAATGTAAACAAAATGTTAGGATGGGGGGTAGGACCTTTGAGGGATAATAAAGGAAAGTTTATATCTAATCAAAAACACCTTAGGTGTGAAAAAAAGGTGTGGCCAAAAAAGGATACAGCATGTGACTTAATGGAATGAAATCAAAATTGGCAGTCAAACTGATAGATAATATAGTAATGATAAGAATTTTACAGCAAGTATTCATTCATTAGTTAGCCAGGCTGCATTTTTTGTTTAACTTGGGACATGGTGGGTGGTAGAACAAAAAATGTGGCCTAGCTAACTAATGAATGAATATTTGCTGTAAAATTCTTATCAATGCTATAAGCATAGCTACCAGTTTGGCTGAAAATTTTGATTTTATTTCTTTAAAGTCACATGCTGAATCCTTATTTGGCTGCACCTTTTTTTCACACCTAAGGTGTTTTTGATTAGATATCATGACTTTTGTCAATATACACCAACAAACCACACCAAATAAGAAAGTGACCCTCGATAGTAACCAACATTATCCTTAGGATCACAACCCTGTTATTCAGAATAGACAATTATGGAACCAACCAGATTCTTTAAAATATATGGTGGTAGTTTTTCTTTTCTAAAACAGTGTTAATAGTTTCTATTATAGTAATGCCATGGAATTTAGATTAACAATTTCTTGTTATCACCCCCATACAATCGGTACAGCTGTATCAAGCATCATTATTTATGCTAATTGCTTAAGCTAATATCACATGATGCTAAATGCTCTTTAATTAGGAGAATTTTATAAAAATTAGTAAATTTGTGCTGAAAAGTTGGCAATGAATAATCAGTAATAACTGTCCATCTGTATGATTGTTTTGAAAACTTGAGCTAGGAACTGCTAATCTAGTTTGTTTGGCATAACCAATACTAATGTGTCTGCATGTCCTTTCACCTTATAGTTTTGATGCTCTAAATCAGCTGTCTTTAATTCGAATGACAAAAAAATTAAAAACAGTCCACTTTTAGTCTTTGGTAGAGCTGTAGTAAAAGTGTTAAACTAATAGTTATGTGACTTTTTGTGTAGGTATGTGCAAAAATTATCTTTAAATTTTAGCAGTTTTTATTGAACAACTTTGCACATGTGGCTTATATTTACACCAAATGAAATTTCTAATTGTAGGTTGTAAAGATTTATCGGAGTACAAAATTTGAAAAAAATTCATAAAAGTTAAGTATATTTATCTATCAAATAAAGTTTCCATACTTTTGGTGCGAAGAAAAAAAAAAGGAAGGAACTCAATCAAAGTTAGAGTTGTTATATCTCAGATATTACTTAATGGATTGCCTTGAAATTTGGTATGTGAAGTAAGAGTTCAGTAGAGCACATCCACTGAAAATATGTGATAGTTTGGGTTACCACAGTCCTGTTAATAACATACAGTGTGTCCTGCAGGTTGTTGTTTTATGGCTGCAAAACACACTGCTGTGTGTTTTGAATTGATGATTATAAGATGGCTGGGTTAGTAAATTCTGCTTTATCTTCAGTTTTTATTAATGAAGGTTTAAGCAATATTCCTCATCTTGAACAGTTGATAGATGGAAACAAGATGATCACATTAATTCTGAGCTTGTAAAGAAAAAATTGAGAAGTTTAAAGAAAGTTGAGGCTCCTGGGCAAGATAATATTTCCCCAAGGTTTTTGAAGGAGGTTAAGGATTGGATGTGTGAGCCAGTTGCTACAATTGTTTGTAAGCCCTTGAATAGTGGGCAGGTTACTCCTCTTTTCAAGGGAGGTGGTAAATATTGTTCTAGTAATTATTTGCCTATTACTCTTACATCGGTTCTGGGAAAAGTTTTGGAAGTTCTAATAAGATGCTTTGCAAAATCATTTAACAAAATTCAGAATTTTATGGGATAATTAATACAGTTTCATTAAGGGAAAATCTTGCCTTACAAATCTTTTCACATTCTTTGGAAAGGTTACTGCTTATGTAGATGAGGGTAATGGTGTAGATTTGGTATATCTGGATTTTCAGAAAGCATTTGACAAGGTGCCACATAAAAGGCTTGTAAAAAAATTATCTGTATAGGTGTGGGGATAAGTTAGCTAATTAGTTAGAAGAGTGGCTGGATGGAAGAAAGAAGAGAGTTGTTATAAATGGTGTTCAGTCAAACTGGAATACCCCTCGACGTGGATTCCTGTACGTGGTGAGGGGACCTCCCAGGGAAGGTTCTGTATTTTCAGTTACTTCCTCTGGGATCTAAACATCCATCCACGTGTTTGCCGTGCGTGGTGACCCGTGAAGGGGAGGAGAGGATCCTGGTGGTTGAGTGGTGTCTGGGGCTCTGCAACACACCACTTTGGCATTGAATTCCTGTAGACGGGTGGCCTTGTGGTGCCCCCTCCCCCAGGGTCATTCGGCTGGTCCACTCGGGCTAGGGTCAACTGAGTACCAGTGTTGGGCGTTCTCAACGGGTGTTGTGGACATCGTGTCTGATGCTGGTGTTTGGGTATAGTGCTCATGAAACCCTGGCGTTGCTGCAGTGTCCTTGTTTGACATTGTAGTGCGTCCCCTCGTAGGACTCCATGGCAGGTGGGGTCAGTGGGCCCTGAATCTTTCTCCTTAATTATGGATCCCCCAATCCAAATAAAAAAATGTTAAAACTCTGCAAATTGCTAAACGACCACACTTAGAAGACTTACCAGCAGTCTCCATCACAAAGTACACCTGTACCTGGCTTCCTGATCCTGCATTCACTGTTCGTTAAATCTTTAGGGCAAATGTCTCCCTTTTTTATTTAGAGGGGCTTGCTGGTTCTCCAAAGTCAGTTAAGAAGCTCCGTTCTGGAGACATCTTGGTTGAAACATCCACAGCTAAGCACAGTGAACTCCTCTTGAATTCAAGGGCCATTGGGGATATACCCATTGAGGTTACTCCCCACGCTTCCTTGAATTCATCACGAGGAGTTATTGTTGAGAGGGACTTGAAGTCTATCCCCAAGTCAGAGATCCTTGCTGGTCTCTCCAGCCAAGGAGTTTCAGCAGTTCGCAGGATCTCCACTCGTCACGATGGAATTATGGTGCCGACCTCAGTTCTGATTTTGACGTTTTCATCACCATGTCCACCTGCCGCTGTTAAGGCAGGTTACTTGAACTGTAAAGTATGGCCCTATATTCCCAACCTTCTTCAATGTTTTCAGTGCCAGTGGTTCGGTCACTCAAAGGCATCTTGTCGTGGTTCTATGATGTGTGCTCATTGTGGTGGCAAGGACCATGACGCCTACGAGTGCAAACTGGACTCTCACTGTGTTAATTGTAGTGGTTCTCACCCCTCTTACTTTAGGTCTTGCCCTAAGAGGGTGGAGGAGAAAGAGGTACAGAGTTTGAGGACTATTAATAATATCTCTTATCCTGAGGCTCGGAAGCTATTGTTCCCTACTACATCTGGGACATATGCCACTGCACTACGCTCCACTGCTACAGTGGGAGTGCAGACGGACCTTTCCGTGCCTCCATCTGAGTTTTTCATCCCATGTGAGAGGTCTTCTGCCCTCCATGGATAATAGAGTTGATAGGTCTACATCTACTCCAATCTCTGTCCCCACTATTCCTTCCAGTGACTGTCCTTGGGCACCAGCCTCTGGTGTCCGTGCGGGTCCTTCTTTGGCCCCTAAATGCAGGACGATCATTCGATCATGTCCTCAGTCATTGGATTCTCACTCTGATGACAGAGATCTGCCCTCTCGATCAAGGGCAGGATCCATGAAGGTCGATCGACCTCCATCTAGTAAAGAAAAATGGCGTGGTCATAAACCGAAGGGTTCTCCATGCTGTTCTCCTAAACCTACATAAAAATGGCCACTTTGATACAGTGGAACTGTCGAGGTTTTCACTCTAATCTCGATGACATTTAGGCCTTGATTTACAGGATACATTTCTGAAACCTACTGATACAGTCACTTAGTCAGTCTTTTACTGCCACTCAATTTGCTCCCCTTTACTTTTCACTCGCTTTTCTTGGATGGTCGACAGCGATCCACGGGGCAGTGATCATTTTCCTATCATTATGAGGGAGGTTGGCCATGGTCGATGCCATCCGACCCAAGTGCCACGGTGGAAGCTGGACCAGACTGACTGGCCATCTTTCACCTCTCTCTCTGAACTTGATCCTGCCTTCATCTGTCTTCCATCAATAGACGACTGTGGTTGCAGTATTGTCCAGGCGGCTGCTCATTTTATTCCTAAGACCTTGACACATTTTCCATGGTATCCTCATCCATGGTGGAGTCCTGCCTGCCAGGAGGCACGGAAGGCTCAAAATCAGGCCTGGGATACCTTCCGACAGTATCCCTCTCTTTCTAACCACATTGTTTATCAGCGGGCCATGCTCATGCTTGGCAGGTTCGACGTCAAAGCCAAAAGGAGTCTTGGATTAAGTTCACTACTAGCATCTCTTCTACCATCAGTTCCAAAACTGTATGGGACAGGATTCGGAAAGTCTCTGGGAGGTATGCTTCCCATCCCCTTTATATCTTGCTCTCCAAATGCCAGGAAGTTGCTGATGCTCTCGGCCAAAGCTTTTCTCATGCTTCCCCTGCCTTCTTGGCCATAAAGTCTCGGGCAGAGCGATCGCCTCTTTCCTTTCATGCCGATCGTCTCTATGATTATAATTGCCCCTTTACACTGGTGGAACTCAAACTTGCTCTTCATCTGTCTGGTTATTTTTCTTCTGGTTATTTTTAACCAGATTTGGCAGGAGCATATTTTTTCTGATGCTTGGCCCCAGGCTATTGTCCTCCCTTTCTCTAAATCTGGGAAGGATCCCAAGATTCCTTATAATTATCATCCCATTGCTTTGACTAGTTGTCTTTGTAAGGTTCTAGAGAGGATGGTTAATGCTCATCTTGTTTGGTTCCTGGAATCGAACGTGCTCCTCTCGCCCACCCAGTGTGGGTTCCGTCGACATCGCTCCACCATGGACCATCTGATTCGACTTGAAACGTCGATAAGGGAAGCCTTTCTCAAGAAAAAACTCCTTTTTTCTGTGTTCTTCGATCTCGAGAAGGCTTAGTACACTACGTGGAGGTATGGAATTTTGCAAGACCTCCACTCCTATGGGTTGCGTGGCCATTTACTCATTTTTATTCAAAACCTTTTACTGAACAGATGATTCCAAGTCTGTGTGTGTTCAACTCTTTCCCGCTCCTTTCCACAGGAACTTGGAGTCCCTCAGGGCTGTGTCTTGGGTGTCACACTTTTTAGTGTTAAAATTAATGCCATCACTAATAATCTTCCTCCAACTGTTGCAAATGGGCTTTATGTTGATGACTTCCACATTTCGTGTCAGTCGTCGACCATGAGGTTTATTGAGCGGCAGCTTCAGACTGCCCTCAATCGGTTGTTGACATGGACCACTGCAAACGGTTTTCAATTTTCTTTTCCCAAAACCGTTTGCATGCATTTTTGCCACCAACGGGGTCTCCACCCCGATCCCGAGCTCCATCTTGGCGATAGAGTGTGGTCCTTGAGGCAAAGTTCTTGGGGCTTATCTTTGACTGTTAGCTTAGCTTCATTCCACACATCAAGCAGCTACGTGTCAAATGTGCAATGGCTCTGAACATCCTCCATGTCCTCTCTTGCAGCTCTTGGGGAGCGGAATCAATGTTCTATGCTCAGGATCTATCGTGTCCTGATTCGATCCAAACTCGGCCCTAAAGATGCTGAACCCCATTCACCATCTGGGTCTGCTATTCCTCCATTTGGCCTTTGTATCCGGGCACTACTGGCTGAATTGGGTCTGGCATTGGATGTCATTGCTCTTCCCAATGATCAGCCCATTCCACCATGGCTTATAACCATCCCTTCCTGTGACTTTTCCTTGAGTCATCTGAGGAAGGCGGATACTCCCGATTGAAAGTACCATCTTCTTTTTGTTGAACATCTTTCGAGCCATTCTTCTCTTACTATTTACTTGGATGGTTCGAAATCGGGTGACTCTGTAGGTTCTGCCATGGTGTGCTGTGGCTCGGTAGTTGCTCACAGGATCCCCTCTACAGTTTCTGTGTTCACTGCCAAGTTGTATGCTATTTCTCTTGCCCTGGATCATGTAGAAGCTAGGCAGTACAGAAATTGTACTATTTACACTGATTATCTTAGCTCTCTACTGGCCCTGGAATCGACTGGCCCAATTTTCTCTATCTTCTGCTTCCATCCAGATTTTCTGGATACCTGGCCACGTCAGTATTCACAGGAATGAGCTCGCTGACACTGCAGCTAAGTCTGTCTGCTCTGGTGCCGTCACGGCCGTGCATGTCCCGTACATGGACTACGGTCCTGTCTTCAAGGCACAGCTTCATGCCACCAGTATGGTGAACAACATCATAACAAGCTTTTCCAGATCAAACCTTCTGTTGATATTTGGCCGTCTTGCTTCCATAATGATCAGAAGGAGGAAGTTGTCTTGGTAAGGCTACGCATTGGCCACAGTTTTTTAACCCATCGTTTTCTTTTATCTGGTATTGACCCACCAATGTGTAGCCATTGTGACACTCAAGTCACGATAGCCCACATTTTACTGTCGTGCCGTTGTTACAACCGTGAGTGGCAACACCATTTTAGTCACGCATTTATAAGTAAATATATAAATTAAATTAATAAATTCTCAATCTTTCTTTTCTCACAAGCAGTAATAGAACTTTTTTTTCCTATTTATAGCTTAAGTTAGAAAGCCAGATAAATAATAGTTGTAGTGTTAGGACATTCTGTTCTAGTGCCTGATAAATGTATTGTGTTCTAAAATTAGAGCTGAGTGATTAAATCGATTAGTGTCACATAAACAAATAAATTAATGTAGTGATTGCACTTATTACTGTTTTTGGCTATTGCAACAATCAATTAATCAAATTTATGATGAAATCCATTGTCACAAAAATAACAACTAATAAAAAATTAGGGTTTCCAATTATTTTGATTATTGTAATTATCCAAGTAATTTAAATATTGTTATTATGTTTGTTTGTAGTTAAACTCAAATTTTTATATTTGGATACCCGTGACCTGTTGTTTTTTATTTCAGAAAAAGTTAAGTTTTAGTGATTCATCGGGGGGTTCTTGATTTTTGAGGGTCTTTTGGTTTGAATCCCATTGCCATTAAGACTTCAAAACTTGCTCTCCCTGCCTTTGTTATAGCAAAGCTACAAAGACTATCTGCCACTGTTACTAATTTTGAATTGCTTACTAGAGGGAAGGCAACTGGGTAGTAGCACCCACTACCAACTTTTTCTTTTCCTTTTTGAACTACTGTCTAGAGAAGAGAAAAATGTCTGGTAGCACCTATCGACAAAATGTTTTTCTTTTCTTTTACTTTTGAACTATTGGGGGGGGGGAAGG